GGGAGTGGAAGGGGTGTCGGGATACCAGACTGTGACATTTCTTCCATGGGAGAGAGACATGAATAATGTCAGGGAGAAAGCGGCAGAGCTAAGTACTGTCCATGTACCCGTTTGCTCTCTTCTCGACCTCGGCATGCCCCCTTTGAGTATCCCACCCAAACCCATTCGGTTTCTCGACCCTCCCTGTACCGCCAAGAAGCACAATCTGGGTCTCAGCCCCCACAGAAGGGACAAGTTCAAATCCCGAAATCTAAAGTCCCACTCTTTCTTTGGGTAGTGTGTTCTTCCGGCGCTCACTTCGCACCTGTTCTCCGTACCTCTCTCTATACGGTATGTATCCGTACACACACACACACTTGTAACGGACGGGATATGCTCTACAGCACAGATTGAAGTCTCTTTAAACGTGCTGGGTCTCGTGTTTTTCTCCGAACGTAACCTCCATGCGGCGGGTGACTATCAGGTCATACCTGAGTTACGGGCTGTCAGGTTTGACGCATGCTTTGTGTGGAACGTCAAGATGAGGGGGAGAATTCCACAGAGCAGAGGAAAGGCTACCCGAGCAAAACCTGGGCTTCTCAGAATCTTTGTGGCCAGAGAAAGCTTCATATTTACTTTTTTTTCTTCCCCCTCTCCAGTCGAATCGACGAATTGAGCTCGATGCAGGATAAACGGACCAGACGGCGACGCTTCTTCCCTCCACCCTCTCTGACCGTAACCGCTGCTGCAAGGTTTTTTTGTGAGATCTGACAAAGACTTGAGCAATTGTGGGCAGCGCTCTGCTGGATTGGGAGGAGGAGGGGAAGATCCAAGCAGCGCCGACGAGGAGGGGCAGCCCGGGTCCGGGAGCATGGACATGGGTTTCTCGTCAACGACTGCCAGTGACCGCTTCTCGGGAGCCAAGACCTCCAAACCTTGCCCTGCTCTGCTCGTCGATATGTATGTATGCTTGAACTGTGCCATTGTAGCATCCGTCAAGCGTCAACGCTGTCAGCATGTACCTCTGAAAGCAACCTTGGAAGAGTCAGAAGTGAGGCTTTCCTCACACCGCGCGAATGATTGATCACTGAGCGGCCTTCCTTTACCATGGTAGCGCGGACTTTGCGCCCGTTTGATGGGCGACGGAAAGTATGGATGGTCCTTGCTGGTGGGCTCGGTCACGGACATAGGACTGTGACACTGACAGCTGGGTGAAGGGCCGCCAAGTTGTCGAAACACTTTCTTGCTTTTCTTCCCTTCCCAATGGACTGGACTGCTAAGCTTCGGCACTCGGTCAATGTGTCGGGGGAAGTCGGTGGGCAGAAAAACACTGGCAGCTTTGGGCAGAGAATCCTGCTGCACTAGAAGTGGAATGATATCGATCATCTCAAGTTCGTTTGCTGTGGCCCATCCAGATCTTCGCCTGTGGGTTGATGGGCTTCGTGGGGTCCAGCGATAGTGGTATGCTTCTTCTTTGGGACGTCGCGCAATCTCGCGCAATCTCTGCGGACCCCATAGTTCAACGTCTGCATCTGTGTGATCTTTTCTGGACTCGATCTTGCTGGAGACTTCAGAGACGGGGGGTCCCCATCAGAAACCGAAGAGCCGCAAAACATAACCGTCAGACGATCGGCCATGTTGACGGTACCGACGGGTCGACGGCCCCGGCCTTCAGTTTCGACCGAGCTTCGGCGCTCTGTGCTCCGTGCTCTTTGTCCCAACTCTTGAGCTTCTTGGGCCTTGGGTCTTGAGTCTTGACCACCTACTCGTGGGGTGCTACGTTTCCCAGGAGTTCCCCTTCTCTCGGGTTGGCGGTTTGACTGTACTGTCGGCCGCTTGTTGCAGGTTCATGGCGCTTCATCCCAGCAGCTTGGTTCAAGACAGAATAGAGTTCATGGACGAGGTGTTGATCATTTGCGGGCTCCATCGAAACCTGCCACAATATCGAATGGCATGGCGAAGTGAACGAAGGCCAAGACTCGGTCAGACGCGAAGGTGCCGACACTACGAGAGTGATGGGCAGGCCTTTTGACAGACGTACTAATAGCATCGCAGACTAGAAAGTCCTAGACTCGTGACGTCTACCGTGATAGACTTAGAGTCGTCGAGATGATTATTGCGGAACTCTCCGTTAACTTTTGATGTCCCTGCGAAAATCCTCGATTTGTCTTGGGGGCCCTGCCGGTTCCGGGCTTTGAAAATGAGCTTGTACCTGTCCAGCACAAGTGGAGAGAAGAAGTGGATTAGATAAGCATGCCCTGTACCATGGAAACGTCCGAGCCAAGGGCCCAAGGGAAGTGAGTGACACTGACACTGACTGGGAGCTGGGCGGGCTGGGGAGGGGGTGGAGGGCCCTGGCCGAGAAGGGAGAGGAAGAGAGAGAGAGAACAGTTGTCGATGTACCTCGACACCCACAGGTACTTCCGCCTTGTCTTTACCTTTGCGGCTTGCCTTGCCTGCCCGGATCCATGAGAAAGGGGGCAGAGAGGCGGCCGGGACGCTGTACGTTCCAGGTCGAGGTTACTCCTGGTGCTCCTCCCATCCGCAGCTCTTCCCAGTGCAGCAGAGCAGCTAAGGTAGAGTGTAGGCGAGGCGAGCAAGGCAGGGCAGGACAGGACAGGGCACTTGCTTTGCGTCTGCTGTGCTTCTGCTGCGCTACTGCTGCTGCTGGAGGAACTCATGTTCCCATTCCCTTGGGTCAGCGAGCCCCCTGCTCCGTACGTCTGCGTCTAGGTATGTACTCCGTACACAGTAAGGACGATGTCCTAGCTGTAGCAGCAGCAGTCGTCGTTGCGCGGCTTAGGACTTCCCTCCGACGATAGTCCGCATAGCAAGCAGGTCGATGGACGTCCGCAGGAGAGTTCCCCATCAGCAGCTCCAGTTGCCCCTCTTCAGTACAGAACATGTCGACATTCATTGGCATCACGACTGGCCACGCCTCATCATGTGCTTCTCAGAGTCTTCCTCTGGGTCCTCTTTCCCGTTGCTATCTCGCCCTACCTCATATCCTTCTCTCTCGACTCTCGGTCTACCTCCCGAGTCTTGACACTGCGCATACACGAAGCACATGCAGATTCATGTCCAGTCTCCATCATGCCACCATGTAGACGCTCCGCTCATTACGCACGCATCGTCTTGGCTCACACCCGTATGCCTACAAGAGTAAGGATGCTCTGTACTCTGTACGGATATGCACAGAGCATCGCGGCTGGCAATGGATATCTCTCCATTCGGTGAACGGCTATCTCTTAGATACAACATGCGGTTACCGTTCCGGTTTGAAAAAGAGCCCTACTGCCGCACATCATCACCCGTTCTCATCAAGGGTTTTGACGGCTCCTGACTCGCCCATCTACCGTGGCACCACGGCACCGCGGCCATGGTCGCAGCCCTAAGGCAAGCCACGTCTGCCAGCGCACAGCACATTGGGGATTGTTTCTCGGAGCTGCACTTTGGCAATTTCGCAAGGACAAGAGGACCCAGAAGTGTTCGCAAGAAACCCCCCTCTTCTTCCTCGATCTTCATAACCTAAGAACCATTCCGGCGTTGTCTTGACTCTTGGGGTAGTACGATAACCTATCGCAAAAAGTCACCTTACCTTGACCTCAACGTGCCTTGCACCCCTCCACTTCAGCTACAACCTCACCGAATCCCACTTCCAGACTGTTTACACTAGTTTCCCCCTCCGTCCCCTCTTTTGAACCCTTTTCCTGTGTTCCCCTCACGATGTTCACTTTTTATTCTCTCGCATCATCCTTTTGGTCACGGCCCATCATATCCTATCTCGTGCTACACGAGCAGACGGACGGGAGAACCCCCGTGAAGCATGTCTTATACTGATGCAATGAGCTGATGTTGTGACGGACCATGTTCTCTCCCACATGGGGCCACGTTCGTGTCTCTTCTTCCCGTCGTGCCTCCTGCCTGTCCCGCTGCTGTATTTCATTGTGTCTGTATGCGCTGTGCTTGTGCTACCTACGCAGTACGGACGCAAAGGCAGGGTGATGCCAATTCTGGTGCAAAACAGACGTGCTTCATCCCCAAATCCCTGACTTGAGCCAATCATAGGCCCATCACGACGCCTTCGTTCCTCATTCCCGGGTCCCCACGTCTTCAGGTCTGACCCGACAGCTTGTTTTGAAGGATTCCTTCCCCTCCCCTCCGACGCCGATGCCCTTACCCTCCTCTCCCGCTGCCCGCACCACTGATGTGCGCAGCCACCCCACCGACAGTGGCCAGGTCTGTATGTTGTACCCTGCCTGTTTCCAACCTTGCCCAGCCCGTCGTATCTGAACGTCTGCGCCTAATAGTGTACTCACACACACTCACTCACACACTCACACCCCCCAGTGGCCCCCCCAGGCCCCAGGGGCAGATTGATGGGCGTTAGGCACACTCGAGGAACAGTAGGCGGCTGACGAGCTAACCAAATTCGAGACAACTTGCCTATGGGTAGCTCGCTAGCTCACTAGAGCTGTCGAGACTGTCTCGTCTTGCGCAGTAAGCATGGTAAGCTCGCTTGGTGCCAAACATTGCCAAGGACAGGTTACACACTCCTTGAGCTCTTCTCTCATCTTCCTATTCATCTTTATCTTAATCGACCTTGTGAAGCTGTAAAGTCATCAAGAAATATAGTTATTTAGTCGTCAGGCAGCGGCCACTATCTACCCTGGCCTGCAGAGAACCACAGCCCGGGTATCGAGCGGGAAAGCATTACCCGCCCCTGCAAGTACAAGTCATCCAAGCCTTGCTGTAGCATCTGAGGTAGGTATCGAAGCAGAGCAGAGCAAAGCGCAACTGCCACTCTCCCACTTGTACCTGGGCGAAGCAGTGTACATTCCCTTGACCCATCGACCCTCATGTACCTTTCCTTCCCTGCCTTAGTGTCTAGTAGGTTCACTTCCGTGCTTCCTGAGAGCAAAAGTGACAGAGAGAGCGAGAGAGGACCACAGCGACCCGTGCAGGGACGGGACGCGGAGCTGTAAAGACCTGGAACTCGCCAATCGCCAAATACTCGAACATCCATGCTTCCTTCAAGTCTACATTCTGTTGCCTGCCTCTCTCTCTCGCACTCATTGTCCCTTGCCTTCGGACCACTGACACCAAACACATACATAATCGCTCCCTTTTCACCTTTGTTTTCGCCATCGTGTTCTTCAACGTTGCCATACTGTCGGGCCCTCGAGATTCCCCCGCGTCATCATCTTACCAGCCCAGGATTCCTTCTGCGACTTATCTTGCGACCTTGTCTCCCGGTCGTGCCTCGATCTACCGGGAGCGTTGTTGAGCTATCGATCACCTGTCAACTTGAAGGATTCGAGATACCTGCCAGGGTCGACAACCTCTTCCCCCGCACAGAGCATTCGGCGAACAACCCGATCTCACCACATTCCGCTGCGTCGAATCGTCGCTGTTCACACCCCAGCCACGACGACGGCCGAGAGCACACAAAGTCTTGTCGCGTCAGACTTGAACACCGCTCTTCTAGACGGACGCTAGTCGACGGTCGAAGTCTGCTAGACAGGTTGCAGGTTACATAGCTCTACACGAAGCCTGAATCCCCCACCCCTGATACCAAAAGGTCATCCACCAAACACCATCTCATTCTCAGCCTGTCCGCCATCCGCCGCCTCCTCTGGTACCGGGCTCCTTCAGCTACCTTGCTAGTACGTACCTTGGCGACTTTTATTAGTCTATGGGACGACCCCCTTCTCGTTTCCCCCCAGTCGTGGAAGTCATTCAGATTTCTGAGGCACCCTCACGGGCCATGTCAAAGTTGATGCCGAGCCGTCCAAACCACCATACCCTTTCTCTCTTAACACCAAGCCTGTCCCGTCGCAAGACATGCCAGAATTTCCGAACAAACAGTTGTTGAAAGTCGATCCCTGATCCCCTTGCCTCCCATCCTTCTCTTCGCTGCTCGCGTCCGCGATTTATCTCGTCCCGAACAAAGGGCACGCACACCACCCCCAAATAACCCTCTCCCATTGTCTCGGGTCCCTCCTTGTCATCCGCTCCAGTGGTTTTCTATCCTTTTTTCCCCCTCCCAGTATCCTCCTCTTCTCCAAGACAAGCAGCGCAAAGTTTGCTTCCCCATCATTCGTTCTCGCCTCCCCGCTTCCACACCTCCAAACAGACCGACGTTTTCGTCCAACATCTTCCCTATCCAGATTGTCTCTCTATCCACAAGCGGCTCGACCGCTCCCCACGCCGCACGCCGCTTCGGGACTTTTCTGATCTGACGGTTGGAAACAGACAAGCCTGGCTGCCAATCAGGGACGTCATCGCCGGCATTTTGGTCTTGGTGGAGGGGTCCCTGATTAGAATTTTCCATCCCTGGAAAGCTCACTGACGTTGAGAAAGCCAAGGTTTTGGATTTGGATCGCTTCACGTTGCCAATTCGCATCGCCGTCAACTTCTCGGCAAGTCAGACGCCCGTCACTGAGGACCTTCCTCCACGCCTGACGGCAGTCGACTTCGTGTACGCTCAGGTTCGAACAGTTGACTCGGGCTGGCGTCTGTTGGGTACGAAGCGCAACAAGCAGATAATTCACGTCCACAATGAATTCGCCGCCAAACTCATTACGCGAAGAACAACTGAGAGATCTCTTGGTGAAGTCCGCTCGCGGCCCGCCTTCAGACCAAGAACCCCCCGAAAAGCGGCTTAAACTCGGCGGCCCCCCTTCTCCGGCAACCTCAGGCCCGGCCGTCATGTCACCGCCCGGTTCCACCGATACAGCTATCACTGTCGGTTCTCATAATGGCGATGAGTACGACACCGAGAGCTTGACCGACAGTGTGAGAGAGCACATGTACGAGAACCGACTACGATATCACGCCTATCGCGCAGGACGTTATGCATTTCCCAACGATGCTATTGAGCAGGACCGCGACGAGATGAAGCACATCATCAGCATTGAGCTGAGTGGGAGGTACTTCTTTTCCCCTGTCGATGACCTGATGGCAAGAGGCGCCGAAGTCCTGGATCTGGGTATGTGAAAGCTTTTCATGTGAGGCACCATGGTGGTGACGTACTTGAGTCCATCGTGGCGAATACCTGCCGCTACGTTATGAACGCTATCTTCGGCAAGAATCATCACAACGTTATTCATGATGCCTTGGCAATGAAGAGAACAACGCCAGAATCTTGCGACGTCATCACCGAGCCGTTTGTTTACATATTGGGATATGCTGTGAGTCGCAGTGAGTTAACGCCATTCTTCACAGGAACTGGACCCGGTCACTGGCCTATTGAACGTAAGTTCCAAGTCCTCAAGACGCTTTCATGCGCCGTCATATGATTCACTTTCACATCGTTCTCCTCACACCATCACGACCTCCCTACGTTTATGATAAGCGGTCAAACTTACATGTGACCCCGTAGTCGCCGATATGCATCCCAACTCTACGTTTCTCGGCATCGATCTATCCCCGATTCAGCCGAGTGAAGTGCCTCCCAACTGTCACTTCATGGTCGACGATATTGAGCACGAAAATGGATGGGATTTAGACGAAGAGTACTTTGATTTCATCCATCTGCGACATACCCTGCACTCCATTCGCGATCGCAACGATCTCATGCAACGCGCCTATAGGTAAACTCCTCATCTCATTTTCACATCCCATTCTCAAGGTATCGAACAATACTGCCTCAAGATAAGAGACTGAACTCTCGTAGGCACCTCAAGCCTGGTGGTTGGTTTGAAATACAAGAACTCGAGTTCTTCCCTTTGTGCGACGACCAGTCCTGCCCGGACGGAGATGGATACGGCTTCCGAGTCTTCACGCAGTACCTCGACGCGGGATTAAGAGTGCTTGGGTCAGAAATGCATGGGATTCGCGCCGCCGCTGATGAGATGCGGGCCGCTGGTTTCGAGAACGTGGAAGAGGACAGGAGGAAATGTCCCATCGGCGACTGGCCAGCAAGGCCTGAGCTGCGCGAGTGTGGCATACTGATGCGGGAAACGATCTTGGAAGGTCTCAAGGGTCTGGCGACAAGGCCTTTCAGAGCCCTGGGATGGACCGAGATACAGATCGAGATGTTCTTGTTGGACGTCCGGTCGCACGTCAAGGAAAGGGACTTCCACTCCTATCTGAACCACAGGACAGTCTATGGAAGAAAACCGCTCGACGCGCCGAAGCCATGAGTGGCGAATTTACGAAGAAAAAGAACCAAGAGCACGAAGCAAGACTGACGACACGAAACGAGCGAGGCGACGAGTACGAATGAGATCACCGATCACCGCATACCGATAAAGGCGATGTAGGGTTTTTTAGATTTGGGTTTCTGATTTTCCTGGGATTGGACGCCTCCTATCCCACGTTGGATGTGCTTTGGTGTCACTGGGGCATTGCATCAAAGGGTTCAGCCGGCGGGCTGGCATCATTATCATTATCGTTATCATCATCATCATCATCATCATCATCATCATCATCAGCAAAACAACGGCACTGCATCGGTTTGGGGATCTCTCGGTGGGTTTTGGGGTCTAAGGACAGCTGGAGGTAGCTTCGGCTTTGGCATGCCGTCATCGAATTTCGGCTACAGCGGGCGATGGGGGAGTTTTTTGTTGGCTTTCTACTTCGAGGAAGTCATGAGATGATTAGGACCATGGCGGCCTCATTGACTCCATCAGCTTCTGATAGGCCTGGTGTATCTTGCCGTTTCATCCCGCCATATTGGAGTAGTCCGCACGAAGGGGTTCGTTTATTGAACAATCCCTCAAAGTCGACGAATATTGCGGAAGTGGCATGTCTATATTGCCCATGAAAAATATATTGCAAAGCCTCTCATCCCCGAGGGCTCATTTTCAGTTTTCTACACTTCCATTCCTCCCTGATTAGAGCTTTCAAATTCGAAGTGATGAATCAAACAAGCCTATGTATTTGAGTCTTTGCAAGAGACATGTCATAGTTCGAAACGCAAAGGCGTCAAACAAGATTGTGATCAAGCTTGAGATGTTTCAAGTTGTGCTTGCTTTTTCAATGCCGATCATTTGATGACTTCATGGACCGTGATTTACATGCGCTCATAGAAGTCAATTCTTACTATCTTCTTATATGTCTCCATAGCCGAGGCTTGAATACACGTCCGGGCTGTTCTCTTCGTGTCTGAAAGGCTCATCATCGACTACAAGGTATGAGGTCTGGACTCAGGTGATGGAGGCGTTTGGTCACAGACTTCTTACTCTAGAAGGCTCATATAACATTGTAATGGACGTTAGGACTGCTGTCGATGCCATGGATATTCTAATGAACTTGTTGTGATGTGTTGGTCTGGAACCCTTAGTGGTAAGTTGGGGCATCGATCTTGCTCAAGGGTAATTGCGTAGCCTATATGAAGTGACTGGTCTTCAAGTGTCATGGACAACGATTTTCGGCACTGTTTTCTCTTCAATCAGCTAGCTATCTTTCTTGAAGGATGTTTGGAAATGCATGCAGATTAGGCTTCAGACAGTTCACTATCAAAGAAGACTGAAAGATTGTAATGTAAGGTAGAAAGCTAAGTGGGTGTAAAAATGGCTCGCTGGAGAAAATATGATCAATCGCCTTCGATTAAGTCAGTCAGTAGAACAAGTGATTTGATTTGATTTGGAAGTCTCATATGATCTGTCTCATGACTGAACATTGTCCTCACGAGCTTCTCGGTGATTTATATACGGTGACATCTCAGCTGAGAAACAACTGTTCTTTTTTCTTCTTTCTTTTCGATCCTTGTATCTAGACCTTCCGGCATGGATACATGCAATTTACTCTCAACTCACCTTGGGCACTTTCGGCGAGTGCTTGAGTGGATGATAAACTGATCTGCCGCTCAACCCATCCCAAGTTTCCAGTTGTCGATGACAGATACTCTGTATAGCAACATCGTTCTTTTTCGTTCTTACTACCGCACTCTCCACAAGCCTGAGTGAATATCATAGGTACGCTGAGAAGCACTCAAATTGACACCGGTAGTTACCATATGATTACAAGAGGCGTCGCTTACATGATGTACACCATTCCGACTATTTCGTCACTCACTTTGTGCTCCGGCTTGGGATACAGGATCGGGACGAGAAGTCCTACATAGCTTGACCTCATTACTTTGATTAATAGCAAAATCTCATTAAGTAAGAACCAGTAAGATTCTCGTAAGGCATATAAATTAGCCAAGGCAGGAAATGCTTATTTAGACTGGATGGCAAAGTACTGACGCCTTTCCTTGAAACACAATAAGGCTGTGTTATTATCTTGCCAATGATGATTTGTATCACTCCACCCGAGAATCCTCACCTGAATCCCCACAGTCTACTAACTTTCGCGTAGTGATGTCTCGTTCTTCAAAGGTTACACGACAAAGTATATGATTCTGAGCATCTGCAGGATAGGATACTGTAGACATGACCAACTGGAGAAATGTCAGCTGTGCATTAGTGGGATTCAATCAAGCGATTTCAGGTTGAATGAACCCATCTCTCACGATAATATGCTCAAAAGGTTGCCCGACCGACATAGCTATCGCGGCTTGGGTCTGATGGTCGAGCCGGAGTATTCCGGGCTCGCAGCAAAGTCTGGTCACGATGCCTTCACAGAGAAGCACCGAACCATGTAAGCGTTCATACATGCACTTTCCATATTACCAGAAGCTTCAAAGACATTCTGGAATTACGGATACTTACTCCTGTCTTTCGGTCCAGCTCTAGCCCTTTTCCACAGAACCTTCTCAGTGGGTCCCAGCAAAGCACCTTGACGGCACATCCTGCAAGGCTCAAGCAGATCGGATGTTTGCCAAGGATGCGATGGGGTCCAAGCTCCAATAAAGTTCCGGGCCCTCTATACTTCAGACTTTGGGTAATAGAATCCTTTCCTTCCCCTGAGATATTGCGAGATATGGAGCGTTTTTGTTGAATGGACGAGTCATGCATTGTTCGTGACTTTGCAAGCCAAAGCGCGCAGTTGTGTATTCGTAAAGGAGGCAACAGATGCCGAAGGCAATCAGTTTTCTCTTAAATAGTAGCCACTCTTGAGCGAATAAAGATTTCATGTTGATTGCGTCGCATCTGCCCCATTTCTTGCCAGACAGCATCCTAGCCTGTATTTCTTCAAGATTCGAAGTCAGAATGCCAGCGATAAACCAAAACTTGGGCATCGATGCTTAGAGACCAACACGTTGACAAGCATTCGAAGAGCTTTCAATGGTAACCAACAGTTCCGATTATGGAGCAGTCTTGAATGCACCTTAGATATGTTCTACTCAGGGGGCCCATGTCGAGTGTTCTGTATGATATCAGAGTAGTTTTACACAACACCAACTTTGACAAAAAGACATCATATTAAGCATTGATGTTCAACTGTGGCAAAGTTTCGGAAGCCTTGGAGAACAGAATTGGGACTTTGGCGTAGAGCCCATGTAGCTATGTAGAAGATGGAAACGAACGCCTCGAACGCCTTCTGGTGGCATTGAGTCGAATAAGAAAACAATTGCCTCATGGACGCTATGGATGCTTTTTGCAATATTTCTTGACACAACAACAAAACATGAGTCTGACTCGCATAGCTTTCCAGGAATTGGGTAGCCTCTGACAAAGTCGGGACCTCATGAGGTTGACTAAGATTCAATGTAAAATTTACTTTTGACTAGTTCAGACTTGTCGATGAGGAACGTAGTCTGACACTCAATCCTTCGTCATCCATGTGCAGTGACATGTGTGTGAAGTTGATTTTGAGACTCTGTGAAACTCACACGCGCCTCTTTGACTCACTGTAAAGCCATGACAGTAGGCAAAGTGATTTGAGAAGCACGTGTCTGACTCCCAGAGTTGCCAAAGATAGGTTTGTGGCTAACATCATGAGACCAGGCTGGCCCAGACCGCTAAACTACACACACTTCAACTTGACGAGTACTTCGTGTGGCACGGCGATGAGATAAAAGACTCAACGATCAAGATTCGCCCACACTTTCGTTATCTTGTCCACATAAAGACTGGGTTCAACGAGTTGGGCGAGCAGACGCTAATGGTCTAGTCCATGGAAGTCAAACAAAGCATTGGTTGCTGATGACATGTTTCTGCAGCTATGGAGTAGTTAAACCAAATATCACGTACTTGCGCTCAGACAGACCTCTCTAGCTCACCCCAGTTACATCATGGGGGCTCTCTCCACAGATTTGGGAACGCACGTCGACATCAGAACCGCCAGTCCGTGTGTCTGTGCTATCTTATGGTTGCATCGGATGACATGACATCCATCTCTAAGACCGCCACATGGCTTGGGATCTTGATCTCAAGATACCTAGCAATGACTCCTCGATATCCAAGCGTGTTTGCTTGCCACCGCCAATTTTCCCTCTGAAATTCGTTCGCAAACTTGTCATGTGTTATGTGTCAGAACCGTGTGGCAAATGCTCTGCTTACACGACTCACATCACGTTTGTCTTCTGCCCATGATCGACTGCATTTATTTGGAACTCTGGAAGCCGTTGGAACCATGTCCTGGCTGCTGTAGTCACTCAGTAACGAATATGACCAGCCATCAGTTGTCAGTTTACCCCATGATGCTTTAACCTTCAATGCAGACTCCAGAGTGGTAAAAGGTTCAAGTTGTATTCCTGGCGTGTTCATCTCATGGCATCTGAGCCTCACAGAGACAGCCAGCGTGATCCAAGGTGGACACGATCCCGGGTGGGCCGGCAAACAATGAACAGACCATCGTCCCCAGACTTTCCAAGGGCGGGGTGGTTTGGCGTCGTCGACGAGGTATCCGTAGTCCCCTCCAATAGGGTTCGCCGTCTTAGAGTGCAGATGATCTTCACTTCCCGAGGCAGCTCAATTAATACGAGGAAAACTTTAGTGCCCGGATGAGGAGCCAGGATCATGAGAGAAAACCAACCCCCGAGATAAGAGAAAAGACGGAGAGTGGTACGACCAGACCATACGAAGTGCCGTAGGTATGAATGCCCGAAAAGCGTTGGTCGGTCGGCTGGCTACATCAAATGAAGCGAGTAAAGGAGATTATTCTCGAGTTTCTCGAAATGATGTAAATCTTCAGCTCGTCATCACGGCTCCGACCTACCCGACGCAGGGTGTGCCATTCACGTCACACGTAGCCCTACTAGGAGCGGTAAGGCTTGCAAATCAGAGTTTCAATAAGCAACTTGCAGGATTCATGAAGCTCTCTAGACGAACGATGACAGGCCACCCCGCGCAACCCGCGGTTCATCGGCATTCCCATCTTCTCCATTGTTCCTCTCGCGCGGGGTCGCGGGCGCCCACTCATAGTTCGTATCGTTCGAACGGGCTTGCTGTGCTGGCAAGAAACTCAGAAATAGAATGAACCAGCGGAAAGAGCAAACAAACAAAACCGCTGGTTGGCCGTATTCCCGCCGCTGGGCTGATCTGGCTCGTCGGAGTCGCGCCTCTTGTGTAAGCTAATGTCTTCGTATATGCATATCGCACACAAGCGAAGCGGCAGTCTAACCTCGCGGTCTCAGTTGTTGGCCATGGGGGTCGGGCGGTGAGTCAGCTCCCAGCCTTTTGGTCTCACAATGCAAGGGCAGCAGCTTGGCCAACCTCACGGCCACATCACACATCACACATCACACACACTTCATGGCGGCAGAGACACAGTCACACACATGCTGCTGCTGGGTGAAGATAAGGCATTGGTGCTGTACGCCCGCTTAGCCGCCTGAAGCAACATCGCGCCCTGCAGGGTTGCGGCACGCGCGAATTTTCAGGCAGAGGGCCAGAGAGAGCGTGGGAGGCAGGTCTGTCCACAGTGGGAGGGCCAGAGGCCGAAAAGGGCTCGTTGCTCCTCGATTGCGACACGGAAGGATTGTAA